TAGACATTCACACAGTTCGATGCCGGCTCAGTAGTTCTAGAGGTTAAGTGCTCGCACGCGAGACTGATAGATCCTGAGTTTGAATCTCGTGAGGCGAGGTCGTGGATGCTCACTGCTGAGGAGCCACACACCACCAGTGCTCCCAGGTTTTCCACGGTTGTCCAACTTCAGTTGATTCATGATCTCAACTATTGAAATTACTATAACATCCACAAAACCCCTTCTTATATTAAAAAAAACAATGTTAATTTGGGTATTCATGCCAGTTAAGTAAATTTTTTTAAATTTTCAACTGAAATTTTACCTACTCATTAGTAGCTCTTTATACATCAATTAATTCTTTCGATGATGTTGGAATCAAATACCGTTTACGATTACATGAATAGTAAATATACCTAACATTGACTAATATAATATTTCTAATGGTTCAGTTGAATCTTTAACAGGTCTCAATACATTTATATAGATCTGCGATCCTTCGAAGTGGGTTTTTAGCTAAAATGATGGGTTTTTCCTGGTTAGCGTTTTTTTAACAAGTTAGTTTACTACGAGATGGGGTCGTTAACCCCATGCCCAACCCTCCTCCTTTATCCGGGCTTGGGACCGTCAGTAGCCCTCAAAAAAGGGCTACAGGTGGAATTAAAGTAATAAACAATTAAAATTTGTTCTCTTGGTGATACTGATTTTAGTTCTGTGATAGTAGTATACTAATAACCATAATAACATACGACTGTGTTTCAATAAAATACTGAAGCAAAAGACCATTCGAATCACTGTACATACCTTGACACAGGTCAAATTATTCACTTCTATTGTCATCTCTTTCAAGGACTAATCAGAGGTATTTGATAGTATGTTTTTGGAGGGTGTTGTGAGTCAACCCTGCCTCGACTTCCAACCTGTTGGTGTTAGTCGTAAATTCTCACTACGTATATTTGTAAACCCTAAAAACAGGACATCACGAGTACAATATGTAAGACGTTTTACATTTCCAAAGATACATCTTATGATACCTAACTATTATACCGGGCATAGATCTAAAACTTCACAAGTTGAGAATGTTTGTTGGTGAATGACCAAGTTTTATATCCGTGTCACCCTATTACTTATACTTGGAAACAAAGAACTACTATGATTTCCAAGACGCAAACAAAAAAGTATACAACAGACTAATGCAAGTAAAGATTTGTTCATTAAAAATGAAATCCGTCTTGTATTGAACAAACTATTACATTGAAGCAAACTAATATGTAGTGCAATGCTTCGCTAATCCTTCACCTCGATAACCGTCATGATACAAACCTCAAAGGTGCATGAAATCGGAAGGCAAAGAGAAGCCGCAACTGCAGTTTATTATCAAATAACGCAGACTACAAAGCTACAAGCACATGAGTAAGTATTAGCGAGTAAGCGCAAGCAATTACATAGTCAAATTCATAGTCAAATTGTATAAGAGCTCAGCAAGACAAAGCAAAAGCTAATAGTGAGATTCGATTGCATGCAAGAGAAGGATGAGTCATCGAATGATATTTAAGAAACCAACGTTTCGGTTAGAGTCTGTCATGTGCTCTAGTGATTGTAACAGTACAAAGAAATATGCAAATTGTTACTATCGAAATGATGATTACTGTTAAGTAAGTTAGTAAAAGGGCTTAACCAAAACTAACCATAATCGAAATCGGTTGTAGGATAGTTGTTATAAATATTATTTCCAGTAATGATCATAATCAATTAAAAAGAGACTTAATGTTAAACAACAACCTCAGTGAACCATAAACAACTGTGATCTCCCCCCCTTTTTATCCCGTCTGATCAAAACGGTCTTTACATGGTGAATGAAACCACCAATTTTGAGTATTAAAAATGGAATATCCAACACATCGTCTACTTATCCCAAATTATTATCAAGTTTTGAGGTTATATCTAACCAGATGAAATGTTTCCTCTTCCTTATCCTCTACGAGGTGTCCTAGTACCTAACACTGTTGGACGGTTGCTCTGCTTTCAGTGTATAACCTTTAAAAAATGTAGACCAATTCTTGATATTTCATTGCTAATGAATTTAACTGGTCTTCGTATATTGGTAATAAATCCAGTGTAGTAGTTTATGATTATCTACATTCCTTTCATCTGGTTTCAATAAATAGAAACCTCATCCACTTTTCAAATAAATAAATTTTCAAAAAACATCTCTTAACGAACTATAATACATAGTAGTTTGTCAACCTCAACTTCTAGGGTCAGGTGTACATAAAATAGCATAGTCTTTCGGGACTGCCTTATAGTTTTCCTGTATATAAATCCATCGTCTCTACATCTTTGTGCAATATTGTCTTCATTTATATTCAATTCACTCATCTTTGTTCATTGATTTTGTTCACTAGCACTAGTATATGCGTCTTGTATTCTCTCATATCCTGATTCTAGGGGACTTCAATCTTCCTAGAATTAACTTCGCGGAACTTAGCTACATTTGAGGTGACAACTCTACTGAAACTCGGTTCTTCAACCTCATTGATGATTTGGGATTATTAGAAAATGTGAAGTGACTACTCGGTGGAGAAACAGTCAGACGCCATCGCGCTTAGACTGGGTATTCACAAATGAAGAATTCCTAGTTGATGACATCTCAATGCTGGCTCCCCTGGGGAAAGTGTTCGCGAAGTCCTATCCTTCAGTTTTTTCAGCAAAACGGAGCTAAAATATCCCACTAACAACAGGCGCTGTAATTTCAAACGTTTGAATGTGTTAGCTTTACATGACTATCTACAACAGGTGGATTGGGGTGTTCACCCTCAACTTGAAGTGGATGCTCATTGGGATTTCTTACTGCATACGCTATTATGTGCTACTGAGCATTTAGTTCCTCAAACGATCCGAAAAAGCTACAAACAGCCTACAATCATCAAGAACCGCACTCTTCGTTTGCTAAGCCGCAAAAGGCACTGTTGGGCAGAATATAAACGAACTGACAACAACGGCGCATACAGGCAATACAAATATTTAAGGAACATATGTACAAATGCAATAAGAGAAGACAGGCTTCAGTACCAGACAAAGCTTATCGTGTATCTGTATCCCATCCGAAAACCTTATTCCGTTATGCAGCTTCTCTTAAACAATGCAAAACTGGAGTTTCACAACTGCTAGGTCCTAATGGTCCGACCAATAACAACGGTGATGCCGCTAGTCTTTTGGCTGAACAATACTCTCAGATATTCCAGCCGACCCACATTAACTATGCTGACGAAAGTTTAATCTGTACCTGTACAGGACTTTCGGAAGTGGACCTGAGTGCTGACCTGGTGCTCCATAAACTGCAGCACATAAGACACTTCTCGCGGTCCGGATATGGTTCACTCTGCTACTCTGAGGGAAGCAGCTTCAATCCTGGCATCACCGCTTAGCGTGATGTTTTCAAATTCGCTAAGCCGAGGCAAACTGTCGGAAATTCGGAAGCTGGCGCACATCTCACCAATTTTCAAAGGAGGTCGACGCAGTGAACCCTCAAGCTACCGACCAGTGGCCCTTCTCTCATACCTTCTAAAATTATGGAGTCTCTAATATAAGACGGAATACACGAATAATTATTATCCTTATAGTTTTTTTCACCCAACAGCACGGTTTCAGAAAATGTCATTCTTGTATGACCAACCTGCTGATTGGGGTGGATAGGTGGACAATCATCCTTGATCGCAAGGGGAAGGTTGACGTAATTTACCTTGATTTCTCAAAAGCTTTTGATAGGGTCAACAACATATGTCTTATCAATAAGCTTAGACGATCGGGTATCAAACTCCCTCTGATTGACTAGCTCGCTTCATATCTAGAAAACCGACCTTTTAAGCTCAGGGTTAACTTCTATCTCTCCCTCTCGGGCTATGGAATATCCTAGTAGGGTCCCCCGGGGCTCAATACTAGGATCTCTTCTCTTTTTAATTTACATAAACGATCTTTCACAACAAGTTTCATCTGACTTATTGCTTTTTGCCGGTCATGTGAAACTTTGGAGAGAGATACGCAACCAGTAGGATATACTAGTACTTCAGGAGGATCTGACTCGACTTCAAAGTTGAGCAGACGACAACGGACTTAACTTCAACAATTCAAAGTGCAAAGTAGTCCATCTGAGACATGTTGCAGACTATAGTTTCAACTTAGGAAACTCCTTTCTCGAAGTTTCCCAAGTCGAAAAAGATTTGGGAGTGTTGGTAACCTACAACCTGAAGTCGTACGCTAACTGTGACAAAAACGCCTTCCAAACAAACCTTGTACTGGTAACATTGAAGCGCATTTTTGACCAGTTTGACGGTAGAACTTTCCACATAATCTTCAACAGTTTTATTCGTCTCCACTTAGAGTACGGAAACACAGTTTTTCACCCTCCCCCCAAAAGGATAAGGACACTCTAAAACGTATCCAACGTCGAGCCACGAAATCAGTTCGGGGACTCAAATTCAAACCTTATGAAGAGCGCCTCCAATCACTTAAACTTTACCCGTTAGAGTACAGGCGTCTTATAGGTGACCTTCTTATAACTTACAGTATCCTTAACACTCCTGGTCATCCCCTTAAACATCTTCTTAAGCTTAGTCACAACACTAACCTAAGAGGTAACGCCCAGAAACTGGAGACCCAACATAGCAAAACAGACTGCATACACAACTTCTACTCCGTCAGAGTTGTCAAATGTTGGAATTCGCTGCCTACTGAGCTAGTACAAGCGACTTCCCAGGAGTCCTTTAAGAGGAAACTTGATTTATTCTTAAGGACTAAGGATAACATATTATTATGATTTACCAAATTCTTTTTTCCCTCTATTATCGTTAATATACCTAGGTTCTTGCCTGGAGGTATTGGTGATCCACTGCTACTAGACACGGAAGCCCGTTAAGCGAAATCTTCTTCTATTCCATCCTCAACCATTTGAACCTTTTGAACCTTTGTTTTAATCTTTCACGTCTCACGTGTTACTATGACATTTGACAGCTGCATTTAATATGTTAGAAATCTCCATCAGGAAAGCTATTAATAGATTGACAAACAAGCTTGCGAGCAATGTAAACTGTAAGATATAGCCAACTTATTGGATAAAGTCACTCGTTTAGAATGCGAAGCTTTGTTAGACATGTTCGTTAAATTTGACGGCAAAAAGCCCTTCGGGAAGTTAGATCGGATGAAGTTCAGGGAAATACTGCATCATGCATTTAAAATGACAGACGACGTCATGATTGACAGAAGTAACATCTGACTTGGTAATTTCTACTTTTAGTTTTCCGTGTTTTTGACGGGGATTTCGATGGTGGTGTCAATGCTCAAGAGTGGGTGATGGGACTCTCAATATTCCTACGAGGTACTTTAGAAGAGAAAATAAAGTGTAAATATATGATATTAACCTATTAATGTTCTAGTTGCGTTTGACGTCTATGATCTCAACAGTGATGGAAGAATAACCAGAGAGGAAATGTTTCAACTGTTGAAGTATTCTCTTGTCAAAGTAACTATTTCGTATGTTTCACAAGTTTTCAAACGTGATTTTCGAATCATGTCAGTCACGTTTGCATTTATTAGCATGGCCGTCTGATCTTACCCTAATATACACTGTTGCCCATAAAAATAATACACAAAAACCAGACGAAATATTTTAAAGCCCCTTGCTTTTCATACACTCGGCCCCTCATTTTAGGTACTTTTGCCTTATCTTATGTGTGATTGACCTTAGAAAATTTCTAAGTTATATTGGAAGGCTCGTATGGCGCTTGTATTTCCAGATTAACGAACTGACGGAATATCTTTCAGAAATAATTTGTATGCTAAAATCAAACCTCTGGGCGTAAATATAGAAATCTAGATTAGGTATTCTTGTATAAATTTGTGAGCTGAGCACTAGCTTATCCTTTTTACCCCTTTTCACGCTTTCGCTTTGTCATTAGTAACTTAAAACTTCAGGTAGCACCGAGAATTAACTTAATAACCGTTTGTTTTTGGTGTATGTTAAAGGATTACCTTTGAACCGTCCAATTTTACAGCCAACCATCACAAACCAGGGTTTAAACTATTTGATTAAACAGAAGTACATGTTTCTGAAATTAAGCTATAAAAGAAGTTAAAGAGTTTACGTCTGTCATAATAGAATATTGGTCTTTTCACTCACTATTTCTTTATAAATACATGCTCGACTTTTTCGGCGGAAATCAATAAATAATACCAACAGCCCTGAATATCCTAGGTCCTCAGTCAAATTGCTATACCCTGTCAAGTGTAAAATTCGTTTATTCTTGAACCCCTATACTAAAAAATCTACAGGTGTTCTTTTCAAATTCCAGAAGTTTGAAACTTGACTGATATTACCTACCATGTTTTATGGTTTAATAAGTATATTGTATCCAGCCCGACTTTTTGTTGATTTTCTGAGTGATTATTTCATACTAGAGTGAAATTTAACCAAAGATTAGGCTTTAAATAAAATCTTTAGTGAAAATTATACTCTCATGTATAGTATTCAGCATCTAAATGAACGTAAAAATTTTTGAAAGTACTGGATACAACACTTATTAATTATTAAAAACATGATGGATAACTTCAGTCTGAAACTTTAATTAATGTTACTTGAAATCGATGGCTGTGTGTGGTTACTGAAATTAACCCACTCATATAATAAATGCTTGGTGTTTTTCTGAACACTACTCTTCCTAACACATACTTCAGATCTTATGTGATTTGGATTTTAGAAGTGTTTATGTTTCCCTTCACTCATCAATTTCAAAACACTTTTGAAATTAAGAACCGATCAATATTAGACCACCATTGAAAACCCGGGAGCACTGGAGGGCCGTCTCGTATTCGTATGGTGCTCCTCGACAGTGTGCATCCATTATCCCGCATGCGGGATTCGGACCCAGGTCCTTCGCTCTCACTCCCGAATGCCTAAAATTTAGACCACTGAGATGGCATCTAACGACGTTGATGTCTAACTTCCAGGTTTTCAATGGTGGTATAACATTGATTAGTTAATGGTTTTAATGAAATTCAGTAATTTTCACAACCTTAAACTGTAAAAGCATTTATTCTGAATGGTTTTACAAATATATACTTATCGTCACAAATCAGTGTTATGTGAACAATTCATAAAAATGGTCGGGCGATAAACATTTAATTCATGACACGCACTATACTGCTTACAGGGCGGTTAGACACTAGATTTATGGTACTAAATTAAAAGAAGGTTAATTCAACTTTTAAAAAATCTCACAAGTCTAACAAAAATTTGACGTTCAAAAAAGCTGGGTAGAACAGTTGGAGTAGTCTCAAGCAATTTTTATTCAGCTTTTCCTTTCATAAGACTACTTCCTATACCAAGATAACTAAACTTGGGAGCTTTTGGAAGGCAGAAATTTACTGATCGCTTGTGTTTTTCCCTTCTATCCATTTCGATCCCTATGCTTTCCTGAGCCAAATTGTTATAACCTTGACCTGAGATCAAATTACTTGCACCCAAAAACTTAAATCCAAGTTTTGATCAAAACCAAATATTAATAAACAAAGTTATATTGACATAATTACAGAATGGGGACAAGTGGAGGAGTCAGTTTAATAAGTAAAATAGTCGTAATGTTTCCAAATTTTTCTATCTTTAATCTTTAACTAGTCATAGCTCACATTGACTAATCGCTGAACAGATATAACAATCGTCTCTTATCGCATACAATGGCAGAGTACTCACAAGAAAACCATTCAAAACTAAGCAGCATCAAATATCTCTTTCTTCCTAACTTCAGATTCATTCGTCGGTATCTATACAAAGAATCTGAAAGATTATCCAGTAGATTTTATATATAGCAACGAGGATGCGCACTGACGAACAGGTCTTAAGTTAAAACAACGTTACATCTGTTTGAAATACTCTCACAAATCATTTGTCATTATTTAAATAATTACCGTGAAACAAAATGAAAGATATTTCAGACAGCAAGTATATGTATTTGCCCCCAAATGCCCTGGTACGGCCGAGAGTGAGGAGAGTCTACTCTCCCTCTCGAAATGCTTTCACATGGCCAGCGAATATATAGCCTCTGACAGGGAAGTCCTACTCACTGCCTTCTCGTGGCGGGGGTGTTGTTTACGAAAGTGAGAGGACGAAAAGCGAATCTCCGGCGCTTTAACCGGGTTGGTGGACATGGAGGGTCCACCTAGGGGAGTTGGAAAACCCTGATTCTAAACCAATGGTGTACATGGGTTCCACTATCCTGATGGAACGAATGGCGGACGAACCTGTCATTGGTCAACAGCTACCATGGGACTGCATCTCCTCACGATGCTCCACTGCCTTGTGGATCAGACCTTTTGTTCAAAGGCTCGGGGTGTGGCCCCCTAAGAAAACCACTTGCTTCGGTTTGGGCACCCGGGCAGTATCACAGCCCACACACAAATAAATGAAATGATGAATTCTATTGATGGTACTATCCCTGCTCATATTATAAGCAAGACAATTTACATTATTATTATTATTATTATTATTATTATTATTATTATTATTATTATTTACCATATCGCTAACTCACCCCCTTTTATCCCCAATTTGTGTATCCTTACTTTTCAACTTATGCAGCAGCTCGCCCATGGTGGAAAATCTGTCCTATCTAAACGATCTCCAGCCACTGTCTGGTTGAAAGTGAATGCTTCCACCGATTATGAATACTGAAGCAGTCTTTCTGAAACCACGTACGCCGTTCAAGCTGGCTTCCTTCAACGTTTGCACACTAATGCATATCAGACAACTGATAGGGCTGGCTATGTCTTTGGAAGGTCTTAATGTTGATGTTTGTTGTCTATCCGAGACCCGTATTCAAGACTCTAGTGAAGTACTACAAATCCGCTCTCCATCTGTCGCCTCGAAAAGCTTGTTCCACGTGCGCTTATCCGGGGACCCTGTGGCATCTTCGTCTGGTCTTGCTGGCGTTGGTGTCGCACTAAGCGCTAGGGCTGAGGCAGCACTAATCGATTGGATCCCCATTAACAGTCGGTTATGTGCTGTTAGATTAGAAAGTTCCATCAAAGTGAGAAGAAATCGGTGTGAGAAATGGTGTTTTTTCGTCATCTCCGCCTATGCCCTGACAGATTGCAGCTCGGATGCAATCAAAGATAAGTTTTACCACCAGTTAACAGTTCTTCTCCAGAAAGCGCGTTCGACAGATATTGTAATACTAGCCGGAGACTTGAATGCACAGGTCGGGCGTCTAGGCACAGAAGAGAGTCGTTTAGGTGGCCGATGGGGACTTGTTGGTCGCAGGACAGATAACGGGGACCGTTTGCTGCAACTGTGCACAGACCACAACCTGTTTCTGGCCAGTACTAACTTCCGGCACAGTCATCGCCGGTGTGCCACCTGGCGTCCTCCCTCTGCATCCCAAGCCTGGACTCAGATTGATCACATCGCGATCAGCTACCGCTGGCGTGGTTGTGTACAAGACTGCCGCTCCTTTTGGAGTACCTATCTGCAGTCTGATCATGTCCTGGTCTGCGCCAATCTCACCTTACTTTTCAGTGGCCGAAGGATTGACCACCACCAACGGATCGATGTTAGTAAACTGGCTGCAACTTCTGTTGCAAGTAAGTATCGAGCGGAGCTAGCCTCTAGGCTAGCTACCATCCCACCGAAAAGTTTAGATGAGCATTGGTTCCATCTTCATGAAACCATGAAAATGGCGAGTAAAGCCGCTTGCGGCTTCGCGAAACGTCCCGCTTACAAGCACTGGGTCTCTTCTGACTCCTTACAACTGATGGAAGCCCGTCGATCTACTCCGGGTGACCGTGAGTTTGACCACAAACGAAGGCTGTTACGTAATGAAATCGGGCAAAGCTTGCGTAAGGACCAAGAAGCCTGGCGGTCGGAGCGTGCTAATGAGATGGAAGCAGCAGCTGCATCTGGTAACTGCCGGAAGCTCTTCCAACTCATCCGAGCCACTGGCAGCAAGAAGTCTGGTGTGAGTGAAACAATCTACGAGGATGATGGGATGCCAATCACTAACATCTCTCGACGTCTTGGACGATGGGCGGAATTCTTCGAAGGGCAGTTCAACTGGCCTGCTGCTCCGGCAATATCAACCAGTTTGTCCTGCCCCCCATGGCCGTTGACGACTGATCCACCAAACGAGGCGGAAGTCCGCAAGGAACTCCAACTCTTGAAACGTTACAAATCACCTAGCCCAGATGACTTACCTCCGGCTCTTTTTAAAGATGGTGGTGACCTTCTGACCAAGGAATTGACTGTGTTGTTTGGAAAGGTTTGGGAGCAAGAAAGTGTTTCAATATCATGGGATGAGTCAATAGTCGTCCCTATCTTTAAAAAGGGTTCACGTTGTTCCTGTAACAACTATCGGGGGATAAGTCTACTTTCGATTGCGTCCAAACTATTGGCTTCTATCATTCTTCGTAGGTTGTTTAAAACCCGAGAACGATTGACTCGCGAGGAGCAGGCTGGTTTTCGTTCTGGTCGAGGATGCATTGATCACATCTTCACCCTCCGCCAAATGTTAGAACACCGTCATACTTATCGCAGGCTAACAATCGTAGTGTTTCTTGATATCAGGGCGGCCTTCGATTCGTTGGACAGGACTGTTCTCTGGGATTGTCTATTGAAGAAGGGTGTGCCTGAGAAGTTCATTAACATCTTAAAGGCCCTGTATACGAACACCTCAGGCAGAGTGAGGGCATACAACCACCTTTCTCCCTTGTTTCATTCGAGCAGTGGGGTTAGGCAGGGTTGCCCGATCTCACCATTCCTCTTCAACTTTGCTATCGACGACATCCTGGAAACTGCTCTGATGGATGTAAGTAATGGCGGTGTGGATATGTTGCCTGGAGAACGACTTCTCGACCTCGAGTATGCGGATGATATTGTTTTACTGTGCGATAATGCTCAAGCCATGCAATCCGCACTTAATCAGTTGGCAATCAGTGTCCGCAGGTACGGCATGTGCTTTGCTCCCTCCAAGTGCAAAGCACTCCTACAAGACTGGAAGGATTCTCATCCTGTACTCACCCTGGATGGTGAGCAGATTGAAGTAGTTGAGAAGTTCGTGTATCTAGGTAGCTATATAAGTGCTGGTGGTGGCGTGAGTGATGAGATTGATGCACGTATAATGAAAGCCAGAGCGGCTTATGCCAATCTGGGCCATCTTTGGCGCCTTCGTGATGTTAGTCTGGCTGTAAAAGGTCGGATCTACAACGCGTCGGTGAGAGCAGTTTTGCTCTATGCTTGTGAAACCTGGCCTCTCCGAGTTGAGGATGTTAGATGTCTCTCTGTGTTTGATCATCGTTTTCTCCGAAGGATTGCTGACATACAGTGGCAACACCATGTTAGTAATGCAGAGGTTTGGCATCGTGTGTTCGGACGCAAGGATGATAATTCAATTGGTGTCACCATCTTGAAACACCGACTTCGGTGGCTTGGACATGTTTTACGAATGTCGTCCCAGAGACTTCCACGTCGTGCATTATTTGCCGACCCTGGGACTGGTTGGAAAAAGCGGAGAGGAGGTCAGTGTATGACATGGTGTCGTGGCATGAAAGAAAGCTGCAAAGGGCTAGCTTCTGTTGGTCTTTCACGACTCCCTGGCTGGGGTCCGAGAGATGGTGCAACACAGTGGCTAGAGACGTTATCAGATATGGCTCAGAATAGAAGCCAGTGGCGATCCAGCTGCAACCTTCTTTTACTTTCTACATAAAGAGTGGTTCTAACTTTCTTAACTGAAAGAGTCTTCTGGTTGTACATTTCAGTCCGCCTTATCTTTTCATCCCTTCTCTTGCTACTTTCATTATTTTGTGTGGCGCATATGTATCTGGTGCCCTTTTGTGCTAATATATATGTGTTTAAATAAATAAATAAGTATATGTATTTAAGAAGTAGTCAATGTAAATAGTTTGTTTAATCTTTATTCATTTGTTTATTTAAATTATAAAAGCAACCAACAGATGAAGATCCTGATGAAGGAATTAGAGAATTAGTTGAAATGGCATTTAAACGATTGGTATGTGTTACTTTCATTCATTCTATACAAATTTGATAGTTACATTTACACTGTACCCCCTTTAAGATTACTGACTACTTTTTTTAGAGTAGACTAGTTTTGACTGGCATTAGAATCTAGAACAGACATTTCATCCTATGTGGGACTCAACATCTGGAGTCCCCTGAATCTTATTGTTGATATTCACATTAAAACTCGAATCAAGTGCATTTCACCCCAAATTCCCAACGCATTATCTACTGAGCTATTAAATATTGATAGTTACTAACTTCTCCAACAAGTGTGATGTTTGCATAGTTATTAGTATCTTTATTATACTTTTAACAAAGTAACTATATAGAAGTAATCCACCCAGGGTGTACGTTTACTAACAATAGCCGATCAAATGTCAGTCTTGTATAACAACATTCGGATAATTTAAACCCTTATTGAATATAAAATATCACTGATTATTTTTCCTTGATATTATTATATAAGAATTTCTCATAGCTGGAATCATGAGTCAATTGAAGCTAGACCACCATGGAAAACCTGGAAGCACTGGACAGCCGTTTCGTCCTATTACTATACATGTCCTGGAGTTCTAGTGAGAATCAGTGACCAGTGGAGTTCAACCAGGTCTGTTGTGATATAGTGACTCACTGAAGACAATGGTGAACGGTTGTTCAATTTCGTGGATTGGTTGAAGTTGGACAATAACACCGTTGGATGCCGGCTCAGTGGTCTATCGGTTAAGTGCTCTGGCGCGAGACTGATAGGTCCTGGGTTTGAGTCTCGCAAGGTGGGATTGTAGACGCACACTGGTGAGGAGTCCCACAATAGGACGAAACGGCCGTATAGTGCTCCCATGTTTTCCATAATGGTCTAGCTTCAATTGACTCATGATTTCAATTATGAAAATACTGAAATCTCCATAAAACCCCTTCTGATAAGAATTTCTATCACAACCTGAGGTCACGTAAAATAAATCTTTCCTAGTTTGAGACAAATTTAATTAAATATAAGGGACGAATCATTTATTATGAGTTAGATTATCGACTGACAACGGTGATCTATAGATTACGATTAAAATCTGACCGACGTCTAATCAGGAAACATCAACTATTTGTACATTAATTTATCATTTCATCCAACTTCCACTCACTTGTCAGAGCCAAATCAGTACAGAAATAACTATTACACTGTTATTTTAAGGTAGAAAACCAACACAAACAAATATTTGTCAACTCAAGCCTGTCATATCTCACATGACCACTTAAATGAATTCAATAAAAATATAGATTTGTTGCCTAACATCAATCTTTAATTGGAATTCATTGTGAATATATTCATACGAAGATGTATAATTACTTCATATAAATAATACGATCAATATTTTATGACCTTCTGAGATTACGATAACTTCCATAATAGTACCATAACAAAATAAACCTATTTTTATACATGCTATACAGCTATGGTATACATTGGTTAGAGAATAGTTCCATCAATGTTGTTTGGATACTTTTCTCTGTTTAGCGTTTTTTAGCGAGTTGGTTTTCTACGGGATGAAGTCGCTAACCCTATTCCGAACCCTCCTCCTTTACTCGGGCCTGGGACCGACAGTAGCCCCCGGAGGAGCTACAGACGGAGTCCCATCAATGTTGTAACAAGGTTTAAATTATTTTGAATAAACACTTCAACTACTTATAACTAATTTAAGTAATACTGGTTTTCAAAAAATAATTTCGAAGCCTTTCATTAAATGTTATTTTGTTTTACAGGATATGGATCATGATGGAAGACTAAATTATACTGATTTTCAACAAGCTGTGGAGGATAATGCTTTATTGTTAGAAATTTTAGGACAGTGTTTTCCAAATGAAGAGGTAAGTGTTAAAACAACTTAAAAGGGATTATAAATCGGATAAAGCACTGAGAAGATAAAACATATTAGACAGAATTTGTCTTCTATTTGCATATTTAAAATTTATTAAAAGGACTAACTACTCTTGTACAGTAATGTAATTGCCAAGTTACCCCACCAAAACTACACCAGGCTACGAAAAAAATGGTTTCGAAGTTTAATATCACAGATTGATTTTGGTTAGAAAGTTGTTCAAAACCAGGAAGCACTCGACTCCACTAAGGATCAAATCAAGAATCTTTAAGAAAGAGTCCCTGTCCAGTGCTTTCTGTTTTCCAGTGGATGTCTAATCAAAGTCAATCCATGGTATGAAACTTCAAATTTAACGATTATCACAACACTTTATAATAAAATAGTGATTTCTCAGATCGGTTGAATGTTTTTATTTGAGTAAGCTTGTACTATACTTCAGATTACATTAGCCAGTAGTCTGACGTAATCAGACAACCTGTATTATGTTTTAATAACTAGACAACGACTTCTTAATAATTTTCCCGTTCCATGAAGTCTTTTCTTCTTGAAACTCGAAAATGAGACAGAAGGAACTTTACTTTCAAGGTTAGATCATGTACAAACATGAAATTATTTATAAGATTTTGCTTGACTTTGAGGTTCTAGAGACTTATGGTAACTATGCTTTAGTGGTTAATCAATTCAATAATTATCGAATCAGGATAACGAAAGCATAATTAATCCTTTTTTAACTCAGTACACTAGACCACAATATTAGATGTGAGATAATTAAATCACTTGACTAGGTCATTTGATGCTCACATACACAATAACTGATCTACGATCCAGACAATATATCAGAAGCACCGTTTCTTGATGCAGAATTAAGAGCAATCACACTATGGGAAATGTGAATAGAATTACAATGAAATTAATTTTTTCATATAAAAATAATCTATCTACTGCTCTACAGGGAAGCCTGTTCGTCTTTGTTTACTGATCAATCACATACTAATTTCACTATCTACACATCAATCATGAACATTCTGAGAGCTAGACAGCCATGAAAAACCTGGAAGCACTGAACGGCCACTTCATCCTATTGTGGGACTCCTTAGTATTGTGCATCCACAATCCCGCCTCACGAGACTCAAACCCAGGACTTATCACTCCCACGCGCGATCACTTAACCGATAGACCACTGAGCCGGCATCCAACGGTGTTATTATCCAACTTCAACCAATCCACGAAATTGAACAACCGTTCACCATTGTCTTCAGTGAGTCACTATATCACAACAGACCTGGTTGAACTCCACTGGTCACTGTTTCTCACTAGAACTCAAAGAAATACCTCTTGGAGTCAGTCTTACATATCTACTACTTATACAACCATTATATATTATGTTCCTTATCTTTTCTTCTTCTTTATTCAATAGGTGGCTACAGCATTTTTATCAACATTTCAAGAGATTAAAGTACCAGAATCAATTTGTTATATTAAACCAGCTAAATCGTTCACAAGTTCTACCATTGCTTAAATGAAGAAAAACAAAGAAAAGGCATGAAAAATGTTTCATTCGATTATTGTTTATTTGACTAATCGTATGATACTTTTTACCGTATTGATAGTAAATTCTGTCTTGTAGATATTCCAATCTCTTTTTTTGATGAATATACTACTATCTTCTCTCATTGATTTCGTTATAATGGATGAAAGATTGTATAATGTTGTGTATTGTAATCAATCTTCTGAATTGATCATGGTTCATATGGTAGTTTAAATTAATAATTTAGTGCTTCCAATGGATAGATACCAGAAGATAGAATTACTTACTTACGCCTATTACCTCTCGTGGAGGAGCATAGACCGCCCATCAGCAAAAAATAGAATAACTGGTCACTTAAAATGAACCTTTTTATATAGCTATTTGACTTTTAGATGGTATATAAGTAGAAGCATATGAAATGTTTAAACTCCTAAGTTTATCATTTATGTGTAAAATAATCCGCCTAGAGCCTCTCTGGGGCTACTACGGGTCTCAGGTCCGGATAAAGGGGGAGGTTAGGCATGGGGTTAGAGACCCCGTCTTGTAGAAACCTAACTCGCTAAGAAAAAGGCAGAACAAAGTAAAAGTAAAGAAGCATTTTACGCTATATATATATATATATATATATATATATGTAATTTAGTTACTTAATAATTGTGGAATAAGAATATATGTAATAACAGATCATAAATAACTCCTAGCAGCTACCATTCACTTGTTCTTCGTTTGGACATAACAGAGAAGGGTCTACTGTGTTAAACAGATCAGTTGAAGAATGGTAAAACCAACCAAAAACAATAAACTCAAAGTACTTTAAGCTAAGTAGTACTGCTAATTGTTCAAGGGTGTAACGCCATTAAGATGTACTCCACATACAAAACCAGCTTCTCAGCAATGCTACTGTTAGGATATTCACAAGAATATCCCAAAAATTATCTCGAATGTAAAATGGTATGTTTCCTGACTCTTCACATAATTCGCATGTTATTTCCTATTGGCCATTATTTACAGTGTCCTAACTATGACTTTCATGTGTCGTTTCCCTATTGGTCAATTTTGAGTCGTCCTAATTATAACCTTTACGTGTCCTTCCTTTCCATTGGTTACTGTTAATAGTCATCGTAACTGTATAAATATGCCTTATCTGTAAACCATTGTTGTTCCGCTGCTGACCCCATAAACAATTCTCATTTAACGGCTGTGTTCTGATTTATTGGAGTTGGGAAACAGTATTGGGGTCGAACTAGGATATCTGAATTTGGTCAATCGGTAGAATTTCGCGTAGTCCTATCGCAATACGCTGTATTTCGCGTTATAACAATTTGGCGACGGAGATTTTGCAAACAAGTTGCTGACTAGTTATGGATCCAGTTAAATTAGAAGAATTGTTCAAGCAACAGCTGAAGCTGATGGAGATGTTTACTCAGACGCAGATCTCTTCTCGAGTCTCATGTACACCAACAATCCCTCAATCAGTCGACGGTATTACCGGTGGTATTTCAGAGTTTCTTTATGATCCTGATGCCAATATTACATTTGATACCTGGTTTAGACGTTATGAAGATCTTTTTAAAGTCGACCTTGCTGACAGAGATGATTCGTGGAAGGTGCGTCTTCTCCTTCGAAAACTTGGTCCATCAGAGCTTGATAAGTATTGCAACTACATTCTACCGCAGAACCCACGAGACCGTTCCTTCGATGCCACTGTTCAAACTCTCAGTCAACTTTTTGGTGACCATCATTCACTTTTTAATACGCGTTATCGCTGTTTAAAACTGGTCATGAACGAGTCCGATGACTTCTTAACCCATGTTGGCATTGTCAACCGTGAGTGCGAACGGTTCAAGCTCAAATCCCTTACCGACGACCAATTCAAATCCCTCGTATTCATATGTAGTCTTCAGTCACCCAAATTCTCCGACATCAGAACTCGATTGCTGAACCGCCTTGAACAAGACCCAACGCTAACACTTAATGCAATCGCCGACGAGTATCAACGCATTGTCAACCTGCAGCGTGACACCATTTTGGTCCAATCTGGGGGCCAGGGTGGTTGCGAAGTTCACGCTGTCCAACGTCAGAACAAATCTCCGAGATCAACAACCGGTGGTCCTACGAAAGCCAGTGCTCCTTCTTTCTCTAATCACTCCAGACCGGTTCACAAGAAGCCCCCCTCTCCATGTTGGCACTGTGGAGCCTGGCATTATGTGAAAGTTTGTCCATTCAAACAGCAGGTGTGCGATCGCTGTCATAAACTTGGTCACAAAAGCGGTTTTTGTCAATTCCATCGACCCAATAGTCGTCGAAATGCACAGACGCAACGTCGTTATACTAAAAAAGCAGCTTCCCTCATCAAGGAGTTTAGCAGCAGTCTTTCACACTCATGCCGCCACGCGACGCAAATTTCTAACCCTCTCAATCAATGGTCAGCCAGTTCGATTGCAGTTGGACACTGCATCAGATATCACTATCCTGTCGAAAGATACTTGGCTAACCTTGGGTCAACCTCCCATCAAACCATCTTCGCAGACAGCCGTTAGTGCATGTGGTGGTCGTCTCCGACTTCATGGTGAACTTAACTGCTGTATTTCGTTCAGAGGTACAACCTTCGATGGTACGTGCTACATCACCAAATCCCCTCTCAATCTTCTGGGTTTAGATTGGTTCGAAGAACTTGGTCTTGCCAATCTACCTATCAGCACTATCTGTAATCAAGTAAAAACTCTTGCTACTGCACAACAGCATGCTGCAGGCCTCCAAAAACGATTCATTAAACTCTTTCAGCCTGGTCTTGGTCTTTGTTCCACAACTGAAGCTGTTTTGAAACTTCAGCCAGAAGCTACGCCAGTTTTTCGTCCAAAACGTCCAGTCCCATATGCATCCCTACCTTTGGTCGACGCTGAACTTCAACGTTTGGAAACTGAAGGTGTCCTTGTACCTGTTTCTTATTCTTCATGGGCTGCACCAATTGTGGTTGTCAAAAAGTCTAATGGTTCCATACGCATCTGTGCAGACTTCTCTACAGGACTCAACGCGGCGCTACAACAGCACCATTATCCGCTGCCGATCCCAGATGATTTGTTTACTATTTTAAATGGTGGTACTTACTTCGCTAAGCTAGATCTCGCGGATGCTTACCTTCAAATTCCTGTCACTCGCGAATCGAGAGAATTGCTGACAATCAACACTCACCGAGGTCTTTTCCAGTATACCCGATTACCCTTTGGTATCATGACTGCTCCAGCGATATTCCAGCAGATTATGGATACTATTCTGGCAGATGTTCCTGGTGTTGCTACGTATCTTGACGACGTCCTCATTGTCGGCTCAACTGCTGATGAACTGCATTCCAGAACATATTTAGTTCTACAACGCCTCCAAGATAATGGTTTTCGCCTTCGTTCAGAGAAATGCCAATTCTTCCTACGCTCCGTTAAATACCTGGGGTTTATCTTTGATGCTTCTGGACGACATCCTGATCCTCAAAATACTCATGCAATCCAGCAAATGCCTGCTCCCACTGATGTCTCTTCACTGCGATCATTTTTGGGAATGGTTAGCTACTATTCAGCATTTCTACCATCACTACATGAGGTACGATATCCATTAAATCATCTGCTAGAAAAGAATGCTACTTGGAATTGGTCCACGCAATGTGAATCAGCTTTTTCAAAACTTAAAGCCATGTTAAGCTCCAAACTACTGTTAACCCACTACAATCCAAAACTACCAATTGTAGTTGCTGCTGACGCTTCAACCCATGGACTGGGTGCCGTACTACTGCATGTTTTTCCCGATGGTTCAGAGAAAGCAGTGATGCATGCTTCGAGAACACTAACAGCCGCTGAAAAACGTTATGGTCAAATCGAGAAAGAAGCCTTAGCTCTGATTTTTGCTGTCCGGCGATTCCACAAATTCATTTACGGGCGCCGTTTCACTTTGCTCACAGACCATAAGCCGCTGTTGTCAATTTTTGGATCAAAGAAAGGCATTCCTGTTCATTCTGCTAATCGTCTTCAACGTTGGGCGTTGGCGTTACTGAGCTACGACTTCGACATCCAGTATCGACGTTCTGAAGATTTTGGTCAAGCGGATGCATTGTCCAGACTTATCAGCAAGCACTCTACAACTGATGAGGATACACTCATAGCCACAATAGCAACGGAAGATGATTCTGGTGCAACACTATTGGCGAATGCCGTGCGAGCTATGCCTGTTACGGCTGAAAACGTTCGAGAAGCTACCAGAAACGACCCGATTATTCGAGAAGCAATCACTTATGTTCAGAGCCGATGGCCAGTTAAGCAGTTCAGTGGTGAGATGCTACACCTAGCGAATCGTCGCAGCGCTCTTTGTGTTGTCAATGACTGTCTGATGTTTGGTGACCGTGTAGTTATTCCAACAACCCTGCGTGCCAAGGTCCTACGCCAATTTCACGCTGGTCATCCAGGGATAAACCGTATGAAATCTATCGCTCGTAGTTACGCATACTGGCCGAACATGGACAAGCAAATTGTCGACTTCGTCAAAACATGTCCACATTGTCAGACAGCTGCGAAACATCCTCCTAAGTTGCCACCAGTACCCTGGCCCAAGTCAGAAAAACCCTGGTCGCGAGTGCACATTGATTTTGCCGGACCCCTAGATGGTACCATATATCTGATACTGGTCGACTCCTTCTCCAAATGGCCGGAGATATTGCCGATTGCACCACCCTCTACAACTCGAACCATCCAACTCCTTAACCAGATCTTCGCTCTGCATGGTCTGCCAGAAACAATAGTAACAGACAATGGTTCGCAGTTCACATCCAGTCAGTTTCGAGAATTTTGCTTGCAAAACTCGATCAATCATGTCCGTTCTCCGCCCTACCATCCTCAATCTAATGGTCAAGCTGAACGCTTCGTCGATACATTCAAACGTGCCATACTTAAGGCAAGAGGGGAGGGAACAACACACGATATTATAGAACGATTTCTAATTGTGTACCGGACGACTCCTCATGATTTATTGCCGAACTTCAAATCCCCTGCGGAAGTGCTTATGGGACGGAAGCTACGAACAATTCATAGTGCAATGACACCCAGGCGAGTAGCCCAGCAGAGTCCTCACATGAAGAATACCCGAATTCTTTACGAAGTTGGCGCAAAAGTGTATGTGCGGGACTATAGACATGGGTATGATAGATGGATAGAGGGGGAAGTCGCAAAGAGACAGGGGAAGGTCATGTATGAGGTCAGAGTAAACAAAGAAATCTGGACCAGGCACCATAATCAACTAAGGCCAAGAGAATCCAAGGATAAAGTTGAAGTTACGAAATGCGTCCCACTCGATTTATTACTGGATACTTTCCAACTTCCGCCAATACCTACAACGGAGGCAACTCAGTCATCTAATCAAGCAGAACATTCTTCAAGTTCTCGGTCGTTACCTCGAAGGAGGTCGGCACGCAAACGCAGAAAACCAAAGGACTTTCAGGTTAACCCACGATTGCGTCGCTATTAATTTTTTCCAAGGGGAGGTGTTAGGATATTCACAAGAATATCCCAAAAATTATCTCGAATGTAAAATGGTATGTTTCCTGACTCTTCACATAATTCGCATGTTATTTCCTATTGGCCATTATTTACAGTGTCCTAACTATGACTTTCATGTGTCATTTTCCTATTGGTCAATTTTGAGTCGTCCTAATTATAACCTTTACGTGTCCTTCCTTTCCATTGGTTACTGTTAATAGTCATCGTAACTGTATAAATATGCCTTATCTGTAAACCATTGTTGTTCCGCTGCTGACCCCATAAACAATTCTCATTTAACGGCTGTGTTCTGATTTATTGGAGTTGGGAAACAGTATTGGGGTCGAACTAGGATATCTGAATTTGGTCAATCGGTAGAATTTCGCGTAGTCCTATCGCAATACGCTGTATTTCGCGTTATAACAGCTACCTTCTTACAACGAAAGACAGGAATCAGAAGATTTCGTCTCTAAAGATGCTACACAGAATCTTACCTTACGGACTTCCATCACCTTCCGTGAAACCTTTAAAGTATGGAAATAAATGCGATATGTGTATACAGTAATGGTTATTCCGTACATTATTCCTCGCCTTTTACAAATCTCAAATACAGTACGTTCAGTCGTGTTCATTGAGTTCTATTTGATTAGACTGGACATTTGTAAGAGTTCCTAATCAGAATATTACTTCGAATATTTCTGCATATCATAATCACATAACAAGAACTTTTTGTAAAGAGGTCGTATGTAAGCGGACTCAACGTGTTATCCGTCAGTCTCCGAGATGAAACTCATGGACTGTCAAAACTACTCCCAATACAAATTAGGTTTTCAGGTACCTCATGAAAAAATTATCACAACACGATGTGTGCATTCGGGAAATGACAACCACTTCCATACTTTCAAAAATCACTCGAGACCCTTGTTAAGGGATTTTGATCTGTCTCAGAATATTCTATTCTTTGATGCTATAAGTATGATTTACTAATTTGAAGACATTAATAGCATATTGTTGGCAAACTCAAGAAGCCCAGAAAGATCCGAAAACATTCCATCCAACCACCACTAGAAGAACATTCTAGAATATCGACGTGTAGCTTCCCTATTGGATGAATAAGAAGGATCCCCCAAGTGTCTATTGGCTGTTCGAAATGATGGTTTACTTTCAGCCAAAAAAATTACAAATACATGAAATTTTTTGTACTATATTTTGACACTGTGTTGGGAATAACATTCCTACTTATTGGTCTTCTGTATTCTCTCTTGTAACATTGCGGGTTCGATCGTTCAAGTAGTCTAGTAGTACGCGGCATAGTAAGAATCAAAGTTCTAGATACAACATATACAAATATTTGACTAAAAATTTATTTTCAGAAGGGGGTTTTGTGAAGATTTTAGTAAACTTATACAGTTGAAATCATGAGTCGATTGAAGCTAGACCATCATTGAAAACCTGGAAGTACTAGATGACCATTTCGTCCTATTGTGGAACTCCTCAGTGACAGTGCTCATCCACGATCCCGCTTCGTGTGATTCAAAACCCGGGACTTATCAGTCTCGCGCGCGAGCGCTTAACTTCTAGAACCACTGCACATTCCATTAACAAATTCATTAATTCGTTTTTCTATCATAATAAATCGAAATTTTGAATGTCGAAATCCAGGCCATTACCCTAAAAGCATCTTGTATAATTGAATATATATATATATATACAATATGTCTGTACAATGATCCTTTATTGTTCTAGTTCTATAATGATCTGTCTGTAAATCAATTGAATTTACATAGGTACATTTGTAATCTAGACAACCAAGTATGGATACCTTATTATATCTGTGTGTTACTATGTGAAGATAATCGACAATAAACATAGATACTAGATAAAATAGTTGGATACGTAACTAGGTAGATAGATAAACAGACAGATAGATAGATAGACAAACAGACAATATTGAAGGTTGACCTAGTTTTCAGACTAGATATTACTATCAAATTATTACCATGCCTGCATTTTTTTTCATAAAAAAAAGGTAAATTGACCATGTCACAAAATTTTCATTATGATAATAGAATAGATACAATATATGATAGATTAGTAAAAGAGTAAGTGATTAAATTCATGATTACTTACTTACGTCTGTTACCCCTCATGGAGGAGTATAGGCCACTCATCAGCATTCTCCATCCAACCCTGTCTTGGGCAATCCTTTCCAGTTCGTTCCAGTTGTTATTCATCCTAAATCTATGATAACTGATGAGAATTATATGAAGTCGATTGGATGTACGAAGACTTCTTAGAAGAGTTCAATTTAAAACAGATAGAACTAGATGAGCACAACTAGTTGACGTTTTTTTTCCTAGTAATGTTGTTTTCTACTGTATAGGGTTGCCGACCTCATGTCCAACCCACCTTCTTTACCCGTGCTTGCTACATCAGTGGGAAGATTCAACCAAATAATACCAAGTGAATTTAAACTTCACCCCATTCCACAAGCAAGTGGCTATCAGGACTCAATAACTTAGTGGGTAACGTGATGTCGTTTGAAGCGAAAGGTACTGAGTTCGAGTTCCAGAGTGAACATCAACCCTGGGGTTCAGGCACATCCAGCTGACGAGTCTCAAATAGGACGCAACAGGCGTCCTAAATTCCACTGCTAGTCACTATCCATCATTGCTTATAATAATGAAATATAGTACCTCTGATGAAATTACCGATGAAATCTACACTTTTATATACAATCAGCATTTAACCAATAAATGAACAGAAAAATATCCGTAAACTCTATATATCACACACTTTTCAAACATTGATAACCGGTTGAATAACTTCACACATCAACATATAACATTTTGTATTGATATATGCACCGTAACTTTGACACAAATTGCTCGTTCCCAATTGGTTCATATTTTTTATCACTAAGGGGTTTTTGTGAATACTATAATGATTTTTTTAATAGTTGAGATCATGAGTCAACTGAAGCTAGATCATCATGGAAAATCTGGTAACACTGAACGGACGTTCCGTCCAATTGCGAGGCAGGATCGTGGATGTGCACTGTTGAGGAGTTCCACAATAGAACGAATCGCCTGCCCAGTGCTTTCAGATTTACCTTGGTGATCTAGATTCAATTGACTCATGATCTCATAATTATTAGTTTAGTTTTATCATAGAATTAAATTGAATCTTAATAAGGACTACTACTAATAATAGTTATTTTCAATTAAGTAATATATACTCACATAGAGCAAATAATCTGATCAAACGTCTGAAACTAATTCTAATTAAATGTAAATATATAAATTATACAAATCGATTGAGTTTTTGTTGTTGTTGTTCTTATTCAGCTATGATGTTTTTACAAATGATTTTGGAATGAACTGTTAATTTTAAAAAAACACATGAAGCAACTGAATTCATATAAATACACACAAACAAAGTGTTTAATTCAACGATAATGTATTTTCATAGTTGAAAGCATGAGTCAATTGAAGCTAGACCACCAGGGAATACCTGGAAGTACTGGATGGCCGTTTCGTTCTATTGTGGGACTCCTCAGCAGTGCGCACCCACAACCTCGCCTCACGAGATTCAAACCCAAGACTTACTAGTCTCGTGCCAGGGCACTTAACCACTAGACCACTGAGCTAGCCGGCATCCGGTGGTGTTTATGTCTAACTCGAACCAATCCACGAAGTTAAGTCCCACAATAGAACGAAACGGCCGTTCAGTGATTCCAGGTTTTTCCTGTTTGTTAGCGGGATATAGATTGGATTAAGCATGTTTTATGCATGATGGTGTTGCTGTGCGCTGGTTGGTTAATTTTTAAACCGATCAGCCCGGGCATATTATTGCAGAAAAATCTAGAAGCCTCTTATGTATATACTATAAATATATGAACATTATTTAAACTATTGACTGTTGTTCACTTATCATTATTATTTTTGAATACAATTTCATTCCTGTTCAAAAGTGTTCTGATTTTGGGGTCTTGTTGAGTGTCACCGTATAAGAATACTAAGCAATAGGAATAGCTGGGTCGTTTATATAGCAAAACACAATTATAACACTGTTGGTCTAGCTTCAATTGACTCACGCTTTTAACTATGAAAATACGAAATCTCCACAAAACCCCTTCTGATAATGATAATGTATTTAATCAAAGTAATCAAAACTTACTAAGATGGAACTGTCTTAATTTCGATTATTAGGACTCAATAGCTAAGTGGATAACGTGACGGTATTTGAAGCGAACGATACTATGTTCGAGTCCCGGAGTGAACATCAACTCTGGGATACGGCTATATCCAGTTGATAAGTCCCAAGTAGGACGAAGTAGTAATTTTTAATAATTGAATTCATGAGTCCATTAAAGCTAGATCACCATGGAAAACCTGGAAGTACTGGATGCCCAATTCATCGTACTATGGGACTCCTCAACAGTATTCATCCATGATCCATAACAATTAATAATCATTCAAAAATGTGGAAATCAGATATTTTATTCAAATCGGAGTATATTATAAGAGAATATGTTAGATAATTCATGTTAACTCTTATGAATTATTTTTTTTTCAGATAATGATTATATGTTCATTAGTGACTGGCTTCATGAGGTATTTCCTGGAGTTCTAGTAAGAAGCAGTGAACAATGGAGTTCAACCAGGTCTGTTGTGATATAGTAACTCACTGAAGATAATGGTGAACGGTTGTTCAATTTCGTGGATTGGTTGAAGTTAGATATGAACACTGTTGGATGCCGGCAAGCTCAGTGGTCTATCGGTTAAGCGCTCGCGCACGAGACTGATAAGTCCTAGGTTTAAGTCTCGTAAGGCGGGATCGTAGGTGCACACTGCTGAAGAGTCCAACAATAGGACGAAGTGATCGTTCAGTGCTTCCATGTTTTCCATGATGGTCTAGGTTCAATTGACTCAGGATCTCAACTATATTTCTTTTTTTCTTCGAAAATAACAATCTAAAATCAATATCGTATATTTGTATAGAGGAAGTTTTTGGAAGACAAACAAACTTATCTTTAAATAATTATAACACTGTGATTATTAGTACGAGTGTACTCATTAGTTAATAGCTTTGAGAACGAATTCCAAGAGTTCTGATGTGTCAATGAAAATACATCGATTTTCTTGCTATTCATTTGAGACACATGAGATTAGACTTCAAAACAAGAACGTAATTGTACTGTTCTAGTTTGAGTGTTGATTAACTAACTTAGACTGTCCGTATAGTACGAGTGACCTTCAGTTAACTAACGACGCAATAAATGTGAAATAACAGCCGA